GCCCATGGCCCCACATCCACATCCCCCACTGCATGCACCCCCTCCCCAGGGCTCCACACCCACCTGTCCTCTGCTGCCTCCCCCGTCCCGGGGTGCCACGTGTTCAGTCTCCCAGCCCCGCCCAAACGCACCCCTCAGACTGGTTGCTCGCCCGACCCAGAGCCCCTGCCCTGGAGGGAGGGGTGGGAATACTTGCACGTGGGTCTGGGTGTATGGCTAAGCTTGTATAAGTCTGGGAGCCGCGGTTTGTTGATGTATGTGGCTCGTATGTTGCTGTCACCCCAAGTGTGTCTGGCTCTGTATGTAGGTCTCTGTGTGTCCCTTGAGTGTGGGTGCCTACTGCCGGTACTAAAGCTGTCTGTGATTGGTATGTTTGAAATATGGTGCTCTCGGGAGCCCTGCCAGAAGTGTTTGTTGACCTTTTGGAACTACAGTGGAGCTCTGACCCAAGCAAAACAGACACCCCACCACCTCCACCCCCCTGTCTACCTCTGCCTTCCTAAGAACTTTACTCCTCCAGGGCCCAGACATACTCCATTTCAGAAATCAGAACTAGCTTGGTTGATCAGGAGGCTCCAGAGCCAGCCTGAGATCTTAGGTGAGGGCTGTCTATCGTTAGCCCTGCCCTCTTTCAATGGGAAGGATCCTTTTAAACATCCTCTCCATTTTGGGCCCCCTGAATGGTCCCAGTTGGTTAGGCTTGCTTGCTGTTGGGACCTGAATGCCTAAACCTGCCATGGGTCCCATCAGGACCCTTGGAAGGGCTAAGTGAAGTCATAGTGTGAAATATTCCTATGTGTTAGGCACTCAGTAAGTGATCCATTCCCTAAGCCATGTGTCCTGGGTTGAGGACTCTACCCTGCGAGGTATCTGCTTTCTGGGGCACAGGTGGAGACTGTAGATAAGTGGTTCGGTGCTGAGATGCAATCCTGTGTAATCAAGTTCACCTGTCCATACTGCTGTGAGTATGCGTGTATAGCGTTGTACGGTGAGGGTTTATGTGTGTGTATGGGTGGCTCAGTGCTGGGGTGTGTCTAGGATAGCAGAAACTGAGTTGCCAGAAACTGTCGGTGTGTTTGCAGGTAGAATAAAAACAAGTCAATAAGTTTCAAGGGGCATGAAAGGTAAGTGAGGATAGGGGTCTGTGAATGAGTGGCCAAGTAGGAAGCAGGTGGGTAGCATTACCGGTCCTTCCCTGACCTGTGGGATCTGTTTCTCTCCCCCTGTTCAGGCTGGCAGCCAGATGCTTGGGCCCATTGGGCAGGCCATTGGCCACCTGCGGGATGAGCAGACTGCTGGGGGGGACGCTGGAGCGGGTCTGCAAGGCTGTGCTCCTTCTCTGCCTGCTGCACTTCCTTGTGGCTGTCATCCTCTACTTTGACGTCTACGCCCAGCACCTGGCCTTTTTCAGCCGCTTCAGTATCCGAAGCCCAGCCCATGCCCTCTACCCTGCAGCCAGCAGCAGCACCAACTGCTCTCGGCCCAATGCCACTGCCTCTAGTTCTGGGCTTCCTGAAGTGCCCAGTGCCCGGCCTGGCCCCACAGCTCCAGTCATCCCACCCTGTCCTGACGTGCCACCTGGTCTTGGTGAGCCTGCAGAGTAGGGCCTACCTGTTGTAGGGGTGGGAAGAGGACCCTACCAATGTGACTAGGGAATTGCTGAACCATGGGGGCACCAAGGCTCCAGATCTATTGAAAGAGGGCTATTCCTGGGGCTCTGTTGCCCACTCCCAGGTGGCTGGTGTCCCTGGATTCTGGCAAAGGCCCTGACTCTTGACACTGTCCTGCCTGCAGTGGGCCGAGTGGTCATCGAGTTCACCTCACCCATGCCTCTGGAGCGGGTGCAGAGGGAGAACCCAGGCGTGCTCCTGGGAGGCCGTTATACACCACCTGACTGCACCCCAGCCCAAACAGTGGCAGTTATCATCCCCTTTAGACACCGGGAGCACCACCTACGCTATTGGCTCCACTATCTGCACCCCATGTTGAGGCGGCAGCGGCTGCGCTACGGTATCTATGTCATCAACCAGGTGCGTGGTCTGTGGTCCTTGGCTGAGCACTAGCCACCAAGGAACTTACATGCACCTGTGGATGTGTCTGCTCAGGGATGGGGGTGGGGGGCCTGTGCCTGTTGGTCCACACATGAGGCTGGAGAAATATGTGGGTCCTTGCCTGTTCATGGTTGTGTGAGTCTACGTGGATTTGGGGGGTACATGTCTATCAGTGACCACAGGAAGGTTATGTATGTAGGAGGGAATATGAGCATGTAAATGTTGGTGTGTGCTCTTGTGGTGTGTACATAGCTTGTTTTGACATCTCTTTGGGATGTCACTGTAAAACAGTAGAGAGAGAAGAAATGTCAAAACAAAGGTGGTAGAGGCCTAGTGTGCACCAACTAGGAGGCAATGTAAGGGCCTTGAAGAGAGGGAGAGTCAGACTGAAAAATAAACGCAGCCTGAAACCGTAAGTACAGCATCTAAGCTCTGGCTAGAAGTGGCATTGGGTCTCAGAGAGGACCTGATAAAGGAGGAAGGTATATGGTTGGAATTGGAGTAAGGGCAGTGGGAACACAGAGAGGCCTGGTTCAGCCGTGCAGTTTTCAGAGATGAACAGGAAATAGCGGGAGGAGGTGAACCTTTCAGGAAGAGGGGCCTGGAAGACCAGGGCTTAGCAAGAGAACTGATCTCTTGTGTTTAGAACTAGTGGCTAAGAGGTGGAGTTCAGCATACAGGCGGCCACATCAAGAAGAGCTTGAGAGTTGTGTTTGGCAGTGAAGTCTAGCCTGAACTGGTGGGGCACCATTGTTTGAAGTGGGGGCTGACCTGTGTATGTGGCCATAATTACATGTGAAGAATGCAGGGAGGGGATACCTAGAAGCAGTGTGGCCAATTAGAAAGAGATTACAGTAGACAGAAAATAGATGGGGAATGTGCTTATGGGCGGGGCAGTTTAATGAGGTAAAAGGGAGACGTCACTGTAAAATAGTAGAGAGAAAAGGGATATCAAAACAAAGCAAGGCTTTTAGTCTTGGCTGTTTTCTGTGTTCATAGCCACACCTGTGAGTGGGATGGGAGAACGTAGAGCTAGGCCAAAGCTGGAAGAGAGTGACTGGGGGTGCTGCCTTGCCTGGAGTGTTAGAGCCTGGGGGAGGTAGAGGAGGGACATTCTGCAGACAGACTGTAAGTCAGGACCTAGGAGAGAGCACTGTGAGGGAAACACTAGTATGTAGATGATTAATTTTTCCTTTGGTTTTTTGAGACAGGGTTTCACTTATGTACCTGTAGACTAGGCTCTGCCTCCCAAGTCCTGAGATTAAAGGCATTAGTCACCACTGCCCAGCTCATTTTTTTTAATTGCATAATATTTCTATGTATATACCCACTCAAGCCTTGGCACCCATGTGGAGGTCAGAGAACAACTTTGTGGTTTATGGGTTAGTTCTCTCCTTCTCCCCTTTACATGGGTTTTGGGTTTGAGGTTCCATGGATCAAATTTAGTTGTCAGGCTTGTGCAGTGAATGCTTTACCAACTGAGCTACCCACTAGCCTGTAGTATAAAGATAGTGTGTGTGTGTGTGTGTGTGTGTGTGATAGATAGAGAGTGTGTGTGTGTGTGTGTGTGTGTGTGTGTGTGTGTGTGTGTGTGTGTGTGTGTATTCGTGCATAGCCACAGAACACTTTTGGAGGTCAGAGGATAACTTTAATGTGCTGGGGAATCAAACCCAGGTCATCAGCTTATTCAGGAATTACTGTACCTGCTGAGCCATCTCACCAGCTAGAAAGTTCTCAAAACCCACATCTGACATAGCCTACAGACATGGAATGTTGGGGGCGGGCAGGGCATCATTGAAGGGTTAGATGGAGAAAGGAAGGCAGCTACAGAGGCCCAGAAGAGAGGTACCAGAGAGTGTCAGGAGACCCTGGAGAGTGGATATCCTGGAAGCCCAGCAGCCAGTATCAGGAAGGAAGCATGGCAGCTGTGTGAGTACTGCGGGGGGGGGAGAGGGATGTGGACCAAGTACGTCCAGTGGATTTAGCAAGGAGGTGGGCCCAGTGAGAGCCATTTCAGGGGCATGGTGGGGGCGGAAGCAGATTGCAGTGGGTTGAAGAAGGAATCAGATTTGACAAAATAACTAATTGGAGACAACGCTTAAAAGAAAAAAAATGTTGAGAAGGGAAGGCAAAAGGTAGGGTGATGGCAGGAGGAAGTTAGGGTTCTCTCTCTAGAGAGAGAAGTGAGCATCTTTATGAGCCATGTGGGAAAGACCGAGGGCTCCTGGTTGGAGAGACTAGAAGAACACTGATATGCTAGGAGAAAACTGCCCATCCCTCTAAGGGCTGGTAGAGGAAGGACAGGAAGGCAGTGAGCAGTGTCATAGTCAGGTCACTGTTCCAGAAGCAGCTCCTGCCTGTCAGGTTTAGCCAGGGTTGGGAGAGGCCACTGTTTCTCCTTTCCTAGTGAGGCACCTACTCACAGATGCCAGCTCCTAAGAGATTCTGTCTTAAGCATGAGTTGTAGCAGAGGCCAAGGGGCCAATTCTTGTCAAACCCACCACTCTGTCCAGAGTCACCTGGGCCTGTACGGCCATGAGCCCTGCAGTCCTATTTTTTTGGGTTCCCAGCTCACAAAGGTGTGACTGCCTGTATAGTTGGTTGCTTGTCTTTTTTTGTTGGGAACACAAGATCATCCAGTACAGTCCTGAGTTGCCTCAGAGGCTGCCCAGAGAGTTGCAAGTGGGTTGAAATGGGCCAGAGGAGCTGCTCCTGTGCTGGTCATTTAGGGCATTCATTGTTGGTCTCATGTCATGACTGTAGGCTCAGTAGGGAGCTAGACTGGGGCTACTCATCTCTAGATTCTCCACCAGCACATAGGAGGCTTGCCTGGCACAAAGGAGAAAGTCATGGGTGTGTTTGAATGAATGGACTAGATGAGACTCTACATAGTGGTTCAGTAAACACCAGTATAAACAAAGCCCGGAGAGGAGGGGGATTGTACTGGGACCTGGAGGTTTGAGCAGAAGTTAGTTTTCCTTTGCAGGCATGAGTTTGGTCACTAAAGCAGAGCATTAAAACTGGTCAGTGGTGGCGCATGCCTTTAATCCCAGCACTCGAGAGGCAGAGGCAGGTGGATCTCTGTGAGTTTGAGGCCAGCCTGTTCTTCTGAGAGAGTTCTGGGACAGTCAGGACTACACACAGAGAAACCTGTCTCCAAAACAAAAACAAAAAAAAATTAGCAGAAACTGCTGATAACCCCAGTGCCTGGTAACAAAAAAGTCCACCGTGTTCTGTGATGCCTACGGAATATAATATGGTTGGGCCATAGAATGTGACAATACCAAATTGGAGACTAGAACCAAACTGTAAAACTAGGGATCGACCTGAGAATCTAAGAGAGTTGTGAGGATGGGGGGACAATTATGTGGGCCCCTTGGATCGTGCTGGAAAGGGAAGTGGCAGGTACTTGCTGGTCACAGACCCAGAGCTGATCTATGTTCATCTACCCACCCACCAGCACGGTGAGGAGACCTTCAACCGGGCCAAGCTGCTCAACGTAGGCTTCCTAGAGGCACTGAAGGAGGATGCTACCTATGACTGTTTCATCTTCAGTGATGTGGACCTGGTCCCTATGGATGACCGCAATCTGTACCGTTGTGGTGACCAGCCCCGCCACTTTGCCATCGCCATGGACAAGTTTGGCTTCCGGTGAGACTTAGTTATCGAGACTCGGATCTACCCACCCCCACTTCACCCAGGTCCATAGTCCCAGCTTCAGTGTCCTCCTAGCTCTGGCCCCTGGTTCAGATCCTTCTCTGTAACATAGATCTTCCCTGGGTCCTGGTTACACATACTCCCCACATACCATCTGTGATTCTGCATCTTGAATCCCCTTGTGATCCTAACTCCTGCTCTCCCGTGTCATAGGCTGCCCTATGCTAGCTACTTTGGAGGTGTGTCGGGCCTGAGTAAGGCCCAGTTTCTGAGGATCAACGGCTTTCCTAACGAGTACTGGGGCTGGGGCGGTGAGGACGATGACATCTTCAACCGGTAAGTAGGGATGGGGTAGAATAGGCTGGGTCAGGGAGTGAGGAATCACAGACTGGGGGGCGCTCCTTACCTTTCCTGGTGCCTGTTCAGTCTGCCTGTCGCCTATCCTAGGATCTCCCTGACTGGGATGAAGATCTCACGCCCAGATGTCCGGATAGGCCGCTACCGCATGATCAAGCATGACCGGGACAAACATAACGAGCCCAACCCTCAGAGGTGACCCCAGCATCCCTGACCCCAGGTGCCCCTGATCCCTTGCTCCCTAGAGGTAACTTCCCAGTATCCCAAATGCCTTTGATCTCTGACCCCATAGAGGAGGCCTCTGAGCATCCTTGGCGCCTGAGAAATGCCTTTTAGAGGCAGCTTATCCCTAGACATGACCCTAATGCTCCTGACCCTTGGCCTCTAAAGGTGACTCCTGGCACCCCTGGGTTGGTTCCTAGAGGTGACTAGAATTTAAATTCCAGTTTGGGTTGTCATTTCATAGACTGCATTTCCATTAGTGCCTTCAAATATCTCACTTACATACCTTGGATGACCCCTGCTTATACTGGCCCTGTCAGAGCAGATAAGATGACATAGTGGGTGCTGGCCATGGGTCCTAGGAAACCAACAAAGGTACACTGAGCAAAGGAAGTGTGAGGAGAGTGAGTGGAGACAGGACAGCCACTCAGAGCAGCCAGCTCCTTTTAAGGTTGAGATACCCACATTAGATGTTTGGCCTGGCTGGGAAAGGTCTGATAGACGTGTAGAATACAAGCAAAGACTCCTTGAGCTTCCCAGTACATCTCTTGAGTGGTGCCAAGCCTTCTGGAGTCACACCCAAACCCCGTCCTACTCTCCCTTATGTGGTTCACACTAGGCAAGGAAGATAGTTATGCCACAGGTCATGGAAGCCAGGTGCCGTCCTGGCAGAGAAGGAGTGAGGTCGTGGGAACAGGAAGTGGGGCTTGAAAAGTTACTTATTCACTGAAATTTGCTTCACATTCCTTTGGACACGTATTCACTTGTGCTGTATTGGCTGGCTGATGGAGAAGGCCAGAGTGGATGTAGGGACTTATCTTCATAAGAGTTGAGTATGAGTATGTGTGGCATATACTAAAACCCTAAAGCTATTTGGCTCTTAGACAGTAGAAGGCTGGGAGCCACCGTAGAGGCATTAGTGCTGTATAGCTCAGTACAGGGAGAGGTTTTTGTTTGTTTGTTTGTTGTTATTGGGTTTTTTTTTTTTTGTTGTTGTTGTTGTTGTTTTTCGAGACAGGGTTTCCCTGTGGCTTTGGAGGCTGTCCTGGAACTAGCTCTTGTAGACCAGGCTGGTCTCAACCTTACAGAGATCCGCCTGCCTCTGCTTCCCGAGTGCTGGGATTAAAGGTGTGCGCCACCAACACCCAGCTACAGGGAGAGTTTTAACTTTCTTCCCAGAGGGCCCTAAGAGTCCTGGACAGTCCCCAACAGGGAGAGACACCATTGAATTTGTTTGGAAGACTTTCTTTCTGAGCTCAAGGAAGGGGAAGGAATGGTCCAGCTGCTGGGTAGACCTAAGGAGAATTTACCACATAAAACTGGAGGGGACATGGCAGGGGAAGGACCATTGGGACTTCTGTGTTCCTTGACTTTTTGCTCTAAACTCAGACTGTAGGAACAGAGAGATGGACTGTGGACTGACTTGGGGCTGGAATTTGGCAGAAGCGTGAGCCCCCAGGCTCCCAGGAGTCCAGGGAGCCAGTGGAAAAGCATGTAGTTTAGATGAAACCATGGTTAGCAGGGAAGGTATGACAGGCAGATAAACGACAGGAGCCTTGGTCTCCTTGCAGAATTAGCTGGTCATCAATTAGTGATGCCTGCTTGAGTGGATATGGCTAGACAGCATGAGATTTCCAGGCTAAGGAAGTCTGGATGGTGGTTCTAATACCCTTCACCTGAAACTTAAGAGTTCTCCAGGATTCTTTCCTCCACCCTACATGTTCAAGTCAGTAGCAAAGCATGTCAGTACCATCCCAAAGCATTTGCGGGCATCTTGCTCCTTCTCCACCTTTACCCTGGTGTGGTCTCTGTGATCTTGCCCTGACAACTGCAAGCGTTTGTTTCCCTGCCTTCCCCTTGCCCATCCATAGTCCATCTTACCTTTCTGCCAAAAGTGGGTTAAGAATCCCTTGGTGTTTTCTTGCTCACAGAATATGAAGTGCTTATTATGACTTAGAGAGTCCTGCCCATACACGCTCTAACCGACAAGCTGGATGTAATCTGTTTTCCCTTTGTTTTGTGCTCTGACCTCTGCATAAAATGCTCTTCCCCCTGCCTTCAGCTTAGTGCCCCGAGCTTCTCCCAAGAGTCAGTCACCTGGTACCCTTAGCACTCTGATGTTTCCTTTGCCTAGTGTCTGTCTCCCTTAGTGAAGCAAACTTGCTGTGAGAGGAAGGACCTTGCATGTCCTGTCATGGCTGTGTCCCTGTTGCTCAGAGTACAATCTGGCACAGAGGAGCGGATGTGGAAGGAGTGACTAATGGAAGAGAAACAGGGGAAACGGCAGGGTTAGGAGAGTAAAGACGCCATGTCTCACATGGGATGCATACTGCAGTGGAGGTCCATGGGGATGCCCCAGATACACAGTCAAGCCAGCAAGATAGCTCCGTGAGTAAAGGTGCTTCATGGGTAAGCCTGGAAGTCCCAAGTTCAATCCCCAGAGCCATGTGAAGGTGGAAGGAAAGGCTCAAGTTCTCATAATTATCCTTTGACCTCTACGCACATGCCCCTGTAATAATAAAAATTGTATATATGGTCCAGGTCTGAACGGAGAGACCTGTGAGAATGTTGTAGTTAAGCTTTCTGACCAGAGGGAATGAGGTCTTCATTTTGAGATCAACTATAAGAGCAATGGGCTTCTGTCAAGTGTCCCTAAAGGGAGCGGCTGGCCTGTGCCTTGGCCCCAGAGATTCAAGACTGAGCCTTGATCTGAACTCATCTCCCTTTCTAGGTTTAGTAAGATTCAAAACACAAAGCTGAGCATGAAGTGGGATGGCATTGGATCGCTGCGGTACCGAGTCTTGGAAGTGTCTCGGCAGCCACTCTTCACCAACATCACAGTGGACATCGGGCGACCCATGTCATGGCTCAATCAAGGCTGACACTAATGGACAAAGGCCCTCCATGCCCTTCTGATGTGGAGGTTTGCCTGCCAGAGGACTGAACTACAGCCTGGCTGACAGTGGCTCTGGGGGCATCCCCAAGACTGAGACTGTGAGCTGTTTTCTGAGGGTCTTCAAAGACGGCCTAGAAGTTTCAGAACCCACTTTGAGGGGCTTCTGGGCAAGCCCCTCTTATGGCTCTCTCTGAGGCCAATCCTTCCTGCCCTACTTCCTCCAGCCCTAACCTCCTCACTGTTAGGGTTGGGCTAGCCCCTGCACTGCCTCGCGGAGTGGCCTGGGCTAGGTCACTCCACTTCTCTGTGCCTCAGTTTCCCTCCCCCCTTGAGTCCCCTAGGGCCTGGAAAGGTGGGAGGATTGACTTAGGGGGCAGTGTCTCTTCCAGGGGGGAGTTCTCAGATCTGGAGATCCCTCATGCTTCCAGGGGAGGGGAAACCTTTTTCATTCAACATTGTAGGGGGCAAGCTTTGGTTAGCCACCTACTGAGGAGCGCCCCCCCCCGGGAGGGGACCAGAAGGGGTGCTGTTTCCTGGGATCATGGGGTTGGCCTTTGCATGGGGGACAGGTGGGGCTTGGATCAGTCCGTGGTTCTGGCCTCCCTGCCTTAGAGAGGAGGCGGAAGCCCAGGGCCTGCTCATGTTTATATGTTGCACAGAAACTTGTGTGGGTGCTTTAGTAAAAAACGTAAATGGAGCAGCTCCTTGTCTGTTTGCTAATGGGCTCTGGTTCCCCGAAGCCAGTTTGTGTTGTGGGAGGTGACCTGGCCAGGGCCATCTTGGGATTTAATAAACGTCCAAGTCCCTGTACCTCCCTTGTTCTAGGGAGAAAGTTTATCTTGATGCTGCCTTCAGGCTAGTAGAGGTAAGGAAATAACGAACCCGGCAGGACCAAATTTCCCAGTTCTACTTCCTCCAAGATAGAAAGTCTCTGGGTAAAGCCCAAGTGCTAGCGGACTAGCATGTGGCTCAGCCACCGTGGGCAGGGCGGGGCCTCTCTCGAGGGCGATCCTGGGGCTCGGTGGTTTCCCAGGTGACCGCCTCTTGGGAGGGACGGGACTAAAGCCAGGTTCCCACGGCCTGGTTTTCCCCAAAGGTGGTCAGGATACCGGGCCCAGGAGGGTCTGCCGAAGTAGGCCACCTAGAGACACTGGAATTCCAGTGTTTGGACACAGGCAGAACAAGGCGGGGCCTCGATGTCAATGGGAGGGGCTCAGTGGGCGTGGCTCTGGTCCGGAACAACCATCTCCCAGGAAATCTAGCACTCTGATCTGCGGTCGGCCCGTCCCTTAGGTCTGAACAGGGGACCGCCACGCACGCAGGCCATGTCCAGTGACTCCCCAGCACTGTGGGAGCTGGTGGAGGAACATGTTCCACTCCCAGAGCGGCCTGAAGTGAAGAGGATTTTGGGGGAGGCAGCGGTGGACCTGAGTCTGGAGTTGCGAGAGGAGGTGGGAGTCCGGTGGGTGGGGGTGGGTCGCATTCCAGGCCTGCCCCACAACTCACGTGGTTTCCTGCCTCCACCAGGTCCCTAACCCTATTTTGGTGACCCCCTAACACCTTGTTTTCAATGTCTGCCCTTTCTCTCATGTTTGACTCCCCACCCCCACCCCTGCAATGCCCCCCAACACACACACACCCATCCCCTCTGCCCCAGTGGCAAGGTGCCCCAGCTCTCCTTGCAGGTGGCGATGCTAAAGGCACTGCTCCAAGAGTTCCGATCTTCTCAAGCCTCGGGATCCCACCCCATCTCCGACTCTCCCTCCCTTCTGGCACCACCACCCCACTTGAGGGATATCATGCGCCAAGAACTCCGACAGTTGCTCCAAGGCCTCCGCCTTAAGGCTATCTGTGAGGGCAGGTGGGAGTCTCAGGCCTGGCCACCTTTCCCGAACATCAGATGGGCTGCCCCAGATAAAGAGCCAGTGTGGCCTATCCTGTGGTTTCCTGAAAGGAGGCACTCAGGTCCCTTCATGCACATGTTTTCAGGGACCAGACCCAGGCGTGGGCCCAGTATAATCCCAGGGTCCTTCGTTTTGCCTTAGAGGATCCCAGGTGTGACTCAACACAACAGGAACTGTCCCAGAAGAGAGCTGGTGAGCCCAGGTAAAGCGATGGTGAAGAGGGAGGCTCTGCCCCTGACAGGCAGAAGGCCCCAGCCAATTGGTGCATACCACCCAGTTCCATAGAAGAGTTCTCATTCTGGGGCTGGACACTTTTTTAGAGCCGCTCAGCCACTTGTGATAGGCATTGGTACATGAGGGCTTAAGTGCTGAGGGGACACCTGCCCAGCTTGGAAGCAGGCAAAGCTTGTTGGGAGAATGATTGCTTAGGTCTGGGTCCTGGAGTATGAGGAACAGTTTTCCAAGCAAATGAAAGAGAGAGGAGTTTTTGCAGGCAGGAGCGGGCAAGAGACCATGTCCAGTGCGCAGTTCTTCTCATGCCTAGTGAACAAGATTGAGGGCTGGACTAGAGGTACATAAAGAGCTGAAAGGAGGTGACAAATGACATTTTTCAGCTGGGGACAGAATGAAGTAAATGCATGGGCTTGTGTTCATAAGTAGACTGCACCAATTTCTTATTCAGATTCTCCTACAATCCTATAAGCTGAGCATTGTCCCCAGTATTCAGAAAAAGAAAGCGAGAAAGAAAGAAAGCTCAGAAAGATAAACAATTTCCCTGAGGTCACACAGTGAAGGTGGCAGCACCCACATGCAAGCCTGGGCCCTGGAACTATTGTTTGTACTATGTTATGTTGCTTGTGCAAGGAAAACAAAATTATCTAGAAGTGGCATTTGTTCCCTGAAGGACTAGAATGAGCAACACAGAGGGGGTGATGTTAACTTCACCTGTCAGCAGCTGTCACAGGGACCTCAGTGTCATCAAGAACGAACTGAATGTGTCTAACATTGACCAAGTTGCCAGACACCTGAGGTGAGGCCTAGGAGCACTTGAGTGTGTGGGTGGATTGGGGGCAAGAAGATGGGTGAACCTTAAAGGGGCTGGGACTGCCTGAAAGGGAGTGTGCAGGTAGGCAGACTACCCGCGTGTGTGCGTGCGTGCGTGCGTGCGTGCGTGCGTGCGTGCAGTCACAATACCAGCAAGTAACCAAGTACAGAACAGGAGAGGCCAGGGCCCTAGGCACAAGGGGAGCCAAGGGAAGGTTATAAGCAGGCTGTGATATGGGGGCTAATGGAGGCAGGATGAGCCAAGACTCAGTATTGGGGTACAGAAGAGGATGGTGCCTGCTGAGGTGACTAGAAATAGTAGGCACTGGAAGACTATGCCCAGGCAGTATCCAGAGAACAATGTGACCTGAAAATGGAGAAGCTGGGGTGGCTCCTGGTGGTTCTGGAGATTGGGCCATGTGATGGGTTCGGCTGGGTTGGTCCTGCCTCACTGGTTCTGGCTGTTCATGCTCCTGTCTAGGAGACTCTTGGAGGAGGAGTGTCACATGTTGCAGAGACAGGTCTCTGAGCTGCAGGTGAGCACAGCCCTGAGCCTTCCCCCCAGGTTCTCTGCTTTGCAGGATCACACCTGTGTGTCTGTGTACCTATGTGCGTATCTTATGTTTCAGAGGCCATGGTCAGCAGTTTTAGAGTAACCCACTTGACAGCCCCAGGTCTCTTGCCTCCTCTCTCACTTGAGTGCATGCCCAGCTACTATCTTGTTAAGCTTGGCTTTCCATGGGTTATGCGCTCATGATGGTCAGGCTGCAAGGTTGCATGGTCATGGTCTTGCTCCTGAGCCCTATACTAGGGCTTTTGGTCTCCACCTTTAGACAGGGTCCCTGAACCCGCTCTTTCCACAGCACTGTCTGGAAATGGAGCAGATGCAGGCTTGCCAGCCCTCCAAGGCCACCCTAGAGCCCACCCTGGCAGGTAAGGACTCCAGGCAAGCCCCCAGCGTACCCTGCCCCTTACCTTTCCCCATACTCTAGAAAAGTCAGGTGCTGTCTCTATGCCCTTCTCAGAGATAAAGGAACAGAAGAAGGCCATGGAACAGGAGCTACGGTTCTCTCTGGGGCCTTCCAGTGTCTCTGCCAAGCACAGGTACACCACAACACAGGGAGGGCAAGGGTAGTGTGAAAGGGTCAGCTCGTGGTCTCCTCACAGCTAACCCATCCTGTGCAGGCAGAAGCCCTTGAGGTCCATTCCGGGCCTCAGACCCTTTCCTTGTCTCCATGGCTACATGCCTACACCTCCTTCGGAACGCTGCCCCCACCCTCAAGGTCAGGCAACCACCCACCGCCGCTGGGGACGGCAACTTCGATACAGCTACTGGGAAGAGCCTACTTCCACAGCCGTGGCCAATGCAGCATCCCAGGCTCCGACCTGAAGGGCTGGTCACAAAACAGGCTTCTGCTGTAACTCCCCCACCTGTGGTTACCTCCAGCTGCCACAGCTCTAACCAGTTCTGCTTCGTTCTGCGTCGTTCTCAGATGAACTCAACACAGTCCCCACAAAGCTGTGTGTTAGTCTGGTCCGGCCCCACCCCTTGCCAGGTCACTGGTATCTAGGACTGAGTGGCAGGATACCTGTTCTAACCACCAAAGCCTTTGGCCCCTCTCTTCCACTCAGGCCTCCACAGCGGCTTGGCAAACAGAGGTCCCATCCCAGCCTGACTTTTGTCCCCAAGGGACCCAGACAAAGCACAGCAGCAGCTCAGAGACAGGAATAGAAATTTCATTAAAATCTATGGACTTTAAAACCCTAGTGGTGCACAATGGGCAGTGGCGGACGGCACACCGTTATTGCTACAGAGGATTAGAGGTGGCTTGGCCAGGGCTGTCACTGCAGAGAGCACAGAGGATGGACAAACGGACACTGCAGGGCATGGGAGAAGGAGCTCTGACTGCAGAGCAGGGGCGGACAGGCATGTGGACTGGGGCCATTTGGCACATTGAATGGGGGGGTAGCACATGGGAAGACTGGGCCTTCAACCTGGTGGAGGGTGGACAAGGGAATGTCGTGCAGGGTCCCCTTCCCCAGGGCTTTGGGCTCAAACTTCCTACTGAGCAGTCCCCTCGCTTTCCCTCCATAAGTGCTTTGGGCAGGCTGCTGGTTCACAGCCTCGGCTGGCTGCGCCTGTCAACCAGGGCTTGGGACAAAGGGGCAGAGGCCCTGGAGCAGCCAAATGAGGTGCAGGCAGGCCTGGAAGACAGACTGGATCCAAGGCTGGGGCAGGGAGTGGCAACCACAGATGATACCATTTTTACAAAAATAATTACACAAATAAACAGGGCTGGGTAATACAGTCTGAGTAACACTGTGAGCCCGTAGCCCCTCATCTTATTCCAAGCAGGAAGATACAGGTTTGCCTGGGCAGAGGCTGCAGTCAAGAACACTGGTTACGAGGCTGGAGGGCAACAGTGGGGTGTGGAACCTCTTGTCCCCTAGTCAGACAGCTCAGGATAGAGTGTGAGGGTAGCAGAGGCCATAGGAAGCCGGGCAGGCCTCTGGGGACCTGGCCTGAGACTTCCTCCAAAGTGCTTTGGACAACCCCACCCCCACAGCAACCCTCCTATCACTTTCCCACCCTTAACTGCTGTCGTGGCATCCAAAGGACATGTAAACACTGGGGACATGAGCACAAATGTCTGCACTAGCAGTGGTGGCCAAAGTGACAGCAGCTGTCTTGGCCAGGGCATGATGGGGCAGGTGGTCACACCTGTCCACTGCCTCCCCAGTCTCTGTGGTGGGAGCAAGGGTTGGGTGGGGCTTCTCCCCTTGCAACAACTGTGCTCATATCCGGGAGTCCTGGAGGCGGCTGGAGCCATTACTTCCCACGATGGGGATCTGGGCCTTGTCCGGGTGCAGTGGCTGGACCTCAAACCCATCTTCAGGAGAGGGGGCTGTGGTAGGGGCGTAGCGCCCAGTCCGATGCTCCAGGAGGGCAGGGCCCCAGTCTCTGCTTGGCTTTGTGGCATTTTTCAAACGCTGCCGGCAGGGGGCGCAGTGAAAAGAGTGAGTCAGAAACCTCTAAGCCCGAAGTGTTTCCACTTCGCCTGGCTGCCCAGCCCACCTTCACTCCCCTCACCTGAAGAAGTGTGTCCCCATCTGTACGACAGAGCTGGAAGAGCGCATACAACGGAATGCAGATGACAGACGACAAAGCCATGAGGAAACCGATGGCCACAGCCCAGCCTGGGTACTGGTAGTGGTTGTAGGTGATTGGCCGGTATTGGATCACCGTGAAGACGAGAATGAACTGCAGAGGGCAGAGGTGGGATGGCGTGAGGCTAGCCAGAGCCCCTCTGGACCTGTTGTCTTGCTGGCCACGCTACCCCTGCCAAAGGTCTCCACCACACTCAGCCTTTTTCTTCCTACACCAACCATTGATTCTATACACACCCTCAGCATTCCTGTCAAGTCCTGAGTTGATGCCACCTCTTTCAGGAAGCCTTTCTGGATTTTCTGCTTCCTATTTCCCATAGTCCTGCGAGCGCCTACGAGACTGCATTAACTCTGGCTCTCAGGTGCCTTGCACAATCTCATTTATCTATTTGAGCTGATTTGTGCCAGGAGATGTCGGGGGGGGGGGTTAGGGAGGGGCTGAGGGACAGGCCAGGCCAGGCCAGGTCCTGCTTCACTATGGCTGTGCTAACAGTGATATTAAGCCTGGAGAGTGCCCAAAGGCTAAAAATGCTGAGTGCCAGGTAGGAGACTGACTGGAAAAAGTCTTTGGAAAGAGGATGGGGCCAGAAGTGAGGCCAGTGGCTGCAGCAAGCAAAGGATCTAAAAGAAACAGACTTGGCCAGGTGGCTTGGAGCCCACACCCAGAGGGCCCTGTACAAAGACTCAACATGCCTTTTAGCCTTTAGAGTCATCCTGGAGTGCAAGTTTCTCTAACCCTTCCCACACTGAACCTAGGGCATCCTTCCTAGGGCACCACACATAGATAGAGTGTACGAGTTTCCTGGCAGAGCCTGGAGTGGATGGAGAGAGGGACTGGGAGGAGGAAGAGAGAGGGAGGAGAGAGACAGAGAGGAGAGTGAATGTGTGTGTGTGTTGACAAAGGGTCTCACTGTGTCACGCTGGCTAGCCTAAAACTCTGTGTAGACCAGGCTGGCCTCCAATCCAGGTTATCAGCCTGCCTTTGCCTCTTGCCTCCCTGGGGCTGGGGTTAATGGCAAGTGCCACCACACCTGACTTAGCCAAGCCTGCCGCATGTGAGGACGAATTCCTTCACTGGACTTAGGGAAGGATAAAGTTTGTCAGATTCAGGGGCATATAAAGCCCCAAAGAGAACATTACTAGGTCTGCCTAGCCTGGATTCCTGTCTTCACCTCATGGTACCTCCATCTGGGCTTTGCAGGCACAGCCTGTTTCACTCCATCTCTACTCCTAGAGGACCCACAGGATCCAGGCCAAAGCCCTTGGTGGGTGATCCCAGGTAATAGGAGGGTGTGTCCTGGGCCAGTCCCATAGACCCTGAGGGAGAGCATGGTGCTAGGCCATGGCTTTAGCCACTCTGGCCCCTCAGCCTTGAAAGGAGACTTCCGCTCCTCTTGTTTCAGTGCTGGGCCTGAGGCCAAAACTGTTGCTTGTGCCAGGCTCAGGAACATCCCACACCCCATGTGGTGGAGGCCTCAGTCCTCCAGGGGCCTCTTCAGAAACATGAGCCAGTGTGGAAGTCTGATACAGAGCTCTCCATGATTCCAAGAAACTGGGAGGGCACAGGTAACTCTGGACACTGCCTTGCCACTGAGTGAGCCCTCTGACACTCTATACAGCGACTGAGTGGACACTGTGACCCTCTTATACACTGACTACTATGCCATCAGCCCCTCCCCCTTCTCATTTCAAGCAGCAAGGTGAGCCAAGTTTTAGCACCCCATGCCATTCCTCCTATAGCACGGTTTGGTCTGCATCGGGGCTCTTGCCCTTACTAAGTGTGTGGCAGTGAGCCTATTTAACATCCTTGTGATGACCCAGTGATGACCCAGAAATGTGCTGCGTGAGTTAACATGTGAACAGGGTGAAGGAAGGGCCTGGCTCCTTGCCTTGCAGGGAGCCCTACCACCAGTGCAACACTTGGCTGAATGTTCTTGGAAATGGGGATGTGCCCTCCAAAGCCAGCCAACTTCCCAGCCTTGGAGAGCCAGAGCTGACCTAACTCCTAGCCCTGCACCAACAGGTCCTGGGCTGCCCAGGAATGCTGCCACATTCCCGTGTCTCTGCCATCTGTCTCCCAACTTGGGAGCAGCCTCCATGAGTGTCTGGGGTAAGAGCAGTTAGGGAGACAGAAGCCACACCAATATCCACCACTCCTGAGCTCCACTGGAGGCAGCTGGGCAACAATGCCAGGGAGTGAGGCTATGGCCCTGAAGCCATGGCAGTTCTGAGCATGAGTATTGGCTTCAGTCAAACAAAGGGCTCAATATCCCCTTCCTAAGCCAAGGCCAGGGCCTAGTGCCTCTGAGTGTGCACACATCTGACTATCCAGCCCTCTCAGATGCCCAAAGCCCTTCAGCTCTGGCTGGGTGGATGCTTTCCTGTTCTTGCTCTGCTGGCCCCCCAAGAGGACGCTTGGCCAAGGGGCAGTAGGAGCAGGGAGGGCCCCTGAGGAACTTACAAAGATGATGGCTGGAGAGACAAAACGCCAACAGATCTGGAAGAAGAGAGGCGGTGGAAACCCCAGCATCATCTGGATGTCCTGGAAGTAGTTTCGGTGCCCTGGAAAGATGGGAGTTGGGGGGGATCAGCAGCCCAGCAGGACAGAGTGAGCCAGCCAGAGACTGGGAGACTTGAAGCCAATGAAGGGTGGGCACTTACCATAGATGTACATAATGGACACACACATGATGCAGGAGATGACAACCAAGGAGAAGCTGGCTGCATAATTGTCCATCAGCAGCAACCAGTAGATGCCTGCCTGTGGGCCAGTGGACAGATGAGCCAGGGTGCCACAGACCAAGCTACCCACCCATTCCCCAAGTACCCCGGCAAGTGCAAGGCCGCTTTACCCCTCCCCCCACATCTCCATTCTTACCTGGCTGAGAAGGGGGATGCCCAGCAAGAAGCCAGCAACAGCCACACCCAAGGTCACATAGGTCTTTTTCTGCAGAATCCATTCATTCCCCACCTCATCCACAATGGCAGTGACTAGGGTCTCTAGGAGGCAAAACTACAGGCACAGCCATCAGAATAGGGACCTGCCTTCTGCCCCAGTTCCTCCTGCCCAAGCTGCCATCGTGCATGCTCACTCAGAGTATACCCCCACACACGCACGCACGCACGCACGCACGCACGCACGCACGCACGCACGCAGACACGTGTGTCATACCTGAGTTCCCAGCCCCAGCAAGATGAGCATGAAGAAAAAGAGTAGGGACCAGAGCGGGGAGATGGGCAGCAGTGTGAGGGCCTCAGGGTAAGCTACGAAAGCTAGCCCAGGGCCATGGTCTGCCACTCGGGACACATCCACACCCAGATGATTGGCCATGAAGCCTAGGATAGAGAAGATGACGAAGCCAGCATAGACACTGGTAGCACAGTTGGTAATGCTGATGATGACGCTGTCCCTGAGAGAGAGGGAGAGAGAACAGGACATTTAGACTAGCTTGCTTCCCTTTCCTCAATTTGGGCCAAGGGAAGACGTGGAGATAGGATATTCTAGAAATATAGATGTCCTAACTCCTTTTCCTATCCACTCCAGACCTTTTAAAGTGAGTCCTGGGTTCCTGACCCTTCATCCATCCATCCATCCATCCATCCATCCATCCATCCATCCATCCATCCCCCTCACTGGCCAGTACTCTGATCTCTATTCCCATGACCTGCTTGAGACACAGGATTCTCAAGGTCATGAGTACAGGAGGTCCCTGGTAGGCAGCAGACTGCATGGGAGTCCAGTGGCCCTGTGGATCCACGGTCAGGCTGTGGAGAGGACAGAAAATGGGAGCAGCCTCCAAACTGGCAGGGGGCACTCACCGATAGCAGTTGTTGTGGAACTTATTGTAGGATGCCATAGTGATGAGGCCACCCCATGCACAGCCCAGGGAATAGAAGATCTGAGAGGCGGCATCCCCCCACACCTGCAGAAAGGATGCCAGTGAGCCACTGCAGTCAGATGCCGGGCCACTGGCCCCTCCCTAGTCCCTTTGGGGCCTCCACATCCCACCTTGGCCTCCAGGATCTTGTCCCACTGTGGGGTCAGGTAGTACATGATACCCGTGAAGGCGCCTTCCAGGGTCACTCCACGAACAAACAGAATGGTCAGCACCACATAGGGGAATGTGGCTGTGAAGTACACCACCTGAGACGAGACAGGCTCCATGGATTCCACTAGAACCCTTTCCAACCCTCTTACTACCTCCCTGACCCAGCTCCCATTAGCTCTGGTCCCTCTTTGTCTCCTGTGGCTCTCCGTTACCCCTCCCTCAGAATCCCATCAACCCAGAAAGGAGAGGCAGGGCGGGAACAAACCCTGCCTGGGAAGGGTACTTGCTTTCCCTGAAGACTTGACTCCTCGGATGAGGCAGAGGAAGACGACCACCCAGGAGACACCGAGGCAGCCTAGGAGGGGAAGCCGAACCTCTCCGAAGTTTCCAATGTCATCAGACAGCTTCAGCACATACAGCCTGGAGGGGGGAGGTGACTGTCACCAAGGGCCAGCTTCTGCTACCCAGCAACCAAGTCTCATGATCTATGCCCCATGTTGAAAGGTCCCAGAAGCCTGCTTGTGGGAGAAGAGGAGCTGCTTTGGGGACCTTGGCCCTCTGCCCTGTAGTCTCTCCTGGGACCCTCAAGGGCTTTGAGAGATCAGGTCAAGTTTGAGCTAGTCTTCCCTCCTGGGGCAGGGTGATGCCCAGTCTCAGCTTGGGCCCACCCCAGACCCTTTCGAAAGTGCATCCACACTTTCGGAATGCCTATTTATCCCATCAGAAGCACCTCCTCCAGGAAGCCTTCAGAGAGAGGTATATCATAATAAGTCTGCTCCAGCTCTCAAGAGCTGAGTGAGCAGTGATGATGTCATCTTAACTCCTCCCTATGTGGGTGTGGCTCCACCTGCAGCCCTTTCCCAGGTAGGCTGTGCTCTTTAGGTCAATCACAGAATGTACCAGGTCCTGGACTTGGACAGGAGGCTTCTTCCTGGTCCTTGGGGAAGCGGGTGGAGGAGAGCAAGCAGGTGAGAAGTACATCACAGAGTGGATGGGGCATGGGTGTGTGTGTGGGTGGGAGGTGTCTCACCCAGAGGGAGAGCCAGGATGAAGGCTTCCCTGAAAAGGTGAGGTTGGGATTATGGTGAGGCCTGATGTGGGTGAAAGGGATGGTGGGAAGAGCAGGCCTGCAACAGGGGCAGGGGGCCAGGAGCTAGCATGACCAGCCTGGGCACGCTGGTTAGCTCAAAAAGGCTGGAATAGAGCACAAGAGTAGATAGAGAGGGCAGAATGGCAATGGACAGGAAGGGGCCTCATTATAGTGAAAGTGAGGCTGAAGAATTTTCAGTTTCCTCCTTATGGCAATGAGAGACCTTTGAGGCTTTTGTTTCAGAACATCCATGCCTCTCTATGGCTCCAAGCTGTGCACTGGCTCTAGGCCCTATAGGATCCAGTGTCCCTGGCCCTGCCATTTCTCTGATCTCTCTTCCTCCTCCCTCCCCTTTGCTCACAGATTTAGCTGCACTGGACTTGGTTTTATTCACACATGTGAGTCTGCCCCCATCCCAGGGCCTTTGTACATGCTACTGTCACTGTCTCTGAACGAAGTGGCTTCACCCCATCTCCTCCCATCAGAGATCTATGTGTACATAAGGCCCCGGACCACCCTGACATCTTTTACAAATGTGAACAAAATGCCATGTTTTGCACGGTGTGCCTGTCTAGGATATAGCTGGGCTTGTCTGTGTGACCCCCCCCACTTCCTCCAGTCTTTATTCAGATGCAGCTTTCACCCCAGCCCAGCATGGCTGCCCCTACTCTGTTCCTCAGCAGTACACACATCCTTCTCTCGTTCTGTATGTTGCTATTGCTAGTTTGGGATTACAGGTGTGCGCACCTTACCAGGCTTTATGTGCTGCTGAGGATCAAACCAAAGGTTCCATGCATGCAAGGAAGGCACTCTACCAACTGAGCCTACTTATGGCTTTTGTCCTCTGTCCTCTATTCTCCTATGATGGTGGGAGCTTGGTTCACTTTGTTTATGGCTGTGCATCTCCAATGCCTGGCACTGAGAGACACTCAATTAGTTGATCTCAAATGAATGAACTCTGTGGCCAATGGGCTGGGAGGCAGAAAGGAAGGAGCCCAAATGGACAGTACAGGCTAGAGGTGAGGAGGAAGCAAGAAAGACATCTTAGCCTCCACTTCCCTATCACAACACAAGTCAAACATAGGCTCCCTTTTTTCCTCTCCTGCTGCTGGAGACTCAACTGTTTCCCCATCTCACCCCTGCCCCAGCATCCTCAGCTAGTCCACATCAGCTCTCAAGCCTCATGCGGACACTTTGAATGCCTTGGGATGGAATATGATTTCTGGATTTTCATGCAACAATGCTGTCAGAGCTTGGTGTTTGCTTGGTTGGCCAGCCTGACCACCCAAAGGAGACTTCTGCTGCCTCCTTTTGGCTTCCTATTTTCCTCTCAGGCCACCCTTCACAGCATGGCCTGCAGAGGGTGCTGTCTGACTCATCCTCCCTCTGCCCAGTTTTCTCAACTGTCTACACCATGAGAGGCTGGCATGACCCTCTCCTGGCTCAGCCATACAGGAATCCACACACAGACCAGTGACATTCAAGAGCCATGAGACACAGAGGCTCTAGGTTCCCTTTAACAGAGTCCCTGACTTTTCTCCCTTCATAGCACACATAGCAAACGATTTTGTTGGCCCATTGAGGTACACAGACAAGGCCATTCATAGCTGAAGACAACGGACTGGGGATCCTGGCAGCCCAGGCCAGGCCTGCCTGGGTGTTCCTATGTAAGACAACACTGCTGGCAAGGTTGGGTCCTTTGGAATAACCACAGGCTCTGACTGCCTCTACTGAGTCACTTGGCTTCTACTGAGCCAACATTCAAGTCAAGAAAACCTTTTTTCATTTAAAGGATTAAAAAAACCCACTTTGCCTAATTATACATGCTAAGATGGCAGTATTTGATGTTATTTTTGAGTACAGCATTACTGTATTGGGAGTGCAGAGTTTAGATGGTTAGCCTGGGAACCAAGGAATGAAGTCTAGCTTTATTTTAGGTTGTACTGTATTTAGTTCTTTGTTTTGCTTTGGACCATGTGCTTTTGAGATCAAACAATTACCTCAGAGCATTTTGGAATGTGACTTATTTATAAGCTGCTTTGACATATGACCTCTCAGGAATTATTTGCCCCACCCCCTTTTCTTTTTTTGAGGCTAGGTCCACTAGGTAGCATGGGTTGGTTTTAAAATTATGATCCTCTGCTTGAGCCTCCCAGCTGCTGGGATCACAGGTGTGTCACCATGCTCAGATCTTTTCCTATTTAAAATTTTGCCAGATATTAGCGAGACCCCCACCTCAAATTTAAAAAAAAAAAAAAGCCAGGTTTGACACAACACCTTTAATCTCAGCATTTGTGAGGCAGAGGCAAGAGGCTCTCTGTGAGTTCAAAGCTAGCCTGGTTCTATATAAGGAGTTCAGGCCAGCCAGGGCTATATAAGATCCTGTCTCAAAAATATAAAAATAAAAAGAATACCAAACTCCAGATGCAGAGAGCTCTTATTTCCTTGAGCAGATAGCAACTGGCTTGAGAAGAGAGACACCCTCTCCCGGTTCTCCACAGGTGTGTGTGAGCACTTGCTACTGACCTCTGGGATTTATGTCATGTTCCCATATTTCACCTCTGAAACATCGAGGGAAGAATTATAGCCACCCAGATTTGACGGGTGGACACTCAAACTCAGGGAGATTTGGTGACCTCCCATGAACACACATGCCAGTGGCAGAGCCAGGGTTTGAGATGTCAGCAGGACTGTGACTTTGGCATGAGACACTGGAGTGGGTGAGGGTGGAGCTGGGATCAGAGTCCACTCTGTGTCAGGTGCTGGCTGCCACGGAGGCTCTGGAGCTGAGAAAGCCTTGTCATGAGCTTAGGGTTTGGAAGGAGTTCTCAGACTAGCACAGAGGAGTATAAAACAAGTCTGGGGAGGGCAAAGAAGGGAGAGTGAGAAGGAGGAGTGGCTCAGAGACCTGACCTTCTTCCTTTTGTTTTGTTTGTTTGTTTGAGACAGGGTTTCTCTGTGGCTTTGGAGGCTGTCCTGGCCCCCCCCCCCCCCAGTGCTGGGATTAAAGGCGTGCGCCACCAACGCCCAGCTGAGACCTGACCTTCTTGAGTCTCTCACTTTCAAGGCATTTGTCTGTAAGTTTTTGTTTAAGGTGTTAGAGATCAAACCTGGGACCTCACAAGTGCTAAGCAAGCTCTGCCACTGAGCCGCACCCCAGCCTCCCTCATCTTTCTTTTGGCCTGCTGATTTCATTCACAAAACAGTAACTACACCATGCTACCTTTCAAAGGAACACTTAGGACTGAGAACACTGGCAGAGCACCACTGGCCTAGGACCCAACAACAGCAGAGGCAGGGCAGGCCTGGAACACACAGCCCAGCCACCTCTAGAGCTGTCGGGCTCCTTAACCCTGGGATGTCAGTCTCTAAATCTGAAAAGGGAGCTTGCAAGACTTATGAGAGCTAATACTCAGGCAGGCACAGGGTAAGTAGGTCCAATTCCCCCATTCCCCTTTCATCAGTGAGGCTTGGGCAGCTCTATTCTCCTCTGGGCCTGGGGAAGCCAACACAGGGCCTCGGGCATGCTAGTCAAATGTTCTGTCACTGAATATATACCCACCTGTCCACCCCTCCTTCCAACCATGGCTCTCTTATGGATTGTTTCTGAGTCAGACCTGTTGATGCTGGCCTATGATCCCAGCCACTCTAGAGTTTGGGCAGGAGGATCACTAGTTCAAGACCAACCTGGGCAACTTAGTGAGACCTTGTCTCAAAATTAAAAAGTAAAAAGGCAGCTAGGGATCTAGCTCAGGCTAAGGCACTTGCCCAGCATGCACGAGGGTGGGTGTGGGGCGGGCCCTGTTCAATCACCAGTGTAGCAGGGGGAAAGTATCTTCCCAGGCTTTCCAGGAGGTGGCAGCAAGGAGCCGTTGGGGTTAGAAATAGCCAGTAAGGTAGGCCTGGCACAGCCCCAGCTGGGGAGCAGAGCCCAGCTGTCCCTCAGTATGCTTCTCTAGGCAGATTCCCTGAGCGCTATTCCCCACTGGTTTCACTGGCTGAAGTCTCCAGAGCTTTGCCCCTGAGGCTGACAACACTGTAGCATCTGTTTGGGGTGAGGAGGGGAAGGCAGGGTTTGTGCTTTGGGGAGATCCAGGGAAGTTCATCTTCTGCCTTTCCGTCTTGGTCAAGCTGCCCAGTGCACAGCACAGCCTGAATGACGGACAGTTACCTCTGACTGGGAGGGAGCTCTGTCTTGCTCTCTCTCTCCTGTCTCCTCTCTGAAACTGGCCTCTCCCACAGCTGCTTCTTTGGAGCCTGCACTTTCAGCACTGGACCTAGAGGACCTGCTCAACTTCAGGATGCCTCTCCTTGTGCACCTCATCTTTGGCCTCCATCACACAACAGGGAAAGTGTCAAACTTTGAGGCTACCATGTGACGTATGCCTGCCCTTCCTGTCTCTTTTCACTGTCCCACTTGCTCCTAGTCTCTGTTTGGCCTCTGCTTACTATCCCCATGCCTCCCAACCCCTCTACTTCTCTCTCTCTCTCTCTCTCTCTCTCTCTCTCTC